ACTCCCATTTGAGGATGATTTCAAATAATACGCAGGCATGAACAAAAAAAATGTAGTCAAGGCGCACTAGGCAAAAGGGAATGACGTCTTTGAAGGTTCAGTCCACGATATGCTGAGTCTAACGGTTACGTGGCAACTAAAACTTTCAGTGAGGGTCCTGCTACGAAAGGCCAGATCTCCCTCTCTGTGGGGGGGGGGGCACCTACAATTTCACATTTCTTTTCTCCTACCCACAATTTTATATCGGAAATTATGCTTTCAAGGCGCATATCCGGCGGAGCCTTCGCGTTCATAGATCCACATTTTTCACCGATAAACTTGTTCAAGTCAGCTAGGAGTAGAATATCTGTGTATTCTCTTGTGCGCTATGATAGCGCTTGTTAAGCAGCATGTAATATTTCAGGCAATGCATTGTGATTGGCGAAACTGCTTTTTCGGCTTCAGCTGTTCGGGAACTTATAAAGTCTCTCGGACAAGAATATCGTGGTGATCGCTATCATCTTATATCACGAAACTGTAATCACTTCAGTGCCGTTCTTGCTAAAGTAAGCCCTTGTTTAGATTGCTTCTGCTTCAACCAGATTTAACCGATTTAGGCCCTCACGGGAAACGACATTCCAACGTGGATCAATCGTTTAGCTAATCTTAGTGGATCTATTCCATTTTTAGAAAGGGTATGTCATTCCCTGTTGAAACTTCTTGATTCACATTTTCATTGCACCCCAATTAACGTTTTTATGTTTTCAGTGTTTACCACAGGAGTGGTTAACGCCGGTGGCATTGCAGCAGTCACTAGATGATCAACGTAGCTCAGATCGCACAAGATCTGCTGTAAATGACAGCCACAAGAGGTTGTCGATTGATTCTGCTGAAGATGCTTTGGATGTCAAGTTAAACGGTATGTGATTCGAATTATTAGGGTTATCCATGATATGGGCTTAGGAGGTGGGAGGCGTTTTGCACTTTCGCTCTAGCCTTCCTCGTTCACGAAAAAAGGTCTTAGCGAGGTGGATACATATACCCTCTAGTAAACCTGCGGAGTGATACGGGTGAGCCAGATTGTTGCAGAAATTTACAGGCTTCACAAGGGGCAGTGTAAGCTTTATCGCATGCCATTTTATGCCTTCCACCAAGCCGAACTGCGCTAAGGTTTATATAATGCGTTATCTACTAATGAGGAGGTGATATAG